CCTCTCTGTCTCCTTTATCTCCGTCTCTTGACAATAGCTAAATGCTATCTAGTAGAAATAATTGTGGTGATATGCTGTAGAGAAGATTTTATAAAACTGCAGCCAGTATGCTCTCATGGACTTGGAATTTCTTGGGGATGGAGGGTAACATGCTAGTCACAGGTAAACATCAAAATCAGAAATTCTAAACAGGCCTTGCTCAGGTCTATGTTATCACCATTTAACTCCCTGATTCTGAGATTTGTCTTCATAGATTGCCCATGACTTAGACTTGTATTAATGAATGATGCATGCCAAGAAAACAAAAACTCATCAATATGAGGAAAGATCAAACATATAATGTTTATATTCATAAAAACATCCCTTAAAACCTTCAAAGTTAGAATTGACTTACTTACCAAAAAAAAAACCCGCAGCTGTACCAAGGACAAATCCTAGTTTCAACTCAGCTGCCACTGCATCATTATCACCAACCAATGAGATTGTCAAACTTTCACGTTATGTTAGTTCTCTTGACAAAATAGAATTATATCAACTGGGTTAAGAACCCATTTAAAGATTCCATATCAAAGAGCAAGTGCATCTTGGCTACAGATTAAGAAATAATGGCATTAAAAGAGGAAGCATCAAATTCCTCAATGTCTCTGTTAGGGGTTTTTGAAATTTAACTGCTATAGCATTACTGCCATTTATGACAACCAACCAAGATAATGAAAAACATTTCAAACATAAAACCTTTAGAACCGGTTCGCCTTTGTTAGAATTTGCAGATTGCTTTGCCATCCCCTGTAGCTGCGCCCGTGCAGCTCTTCCTGCGGCAGATTTTTCAAATTGCTCTTGCCTGCTAACAAGGTAATAATCTAAATGTTATAAATGAAGGAAAAAGAACCCTTCTAAGATCATTTGAATTGCTTCAAGTTCATTTCTTAGTGAGATTATCACCATTGTTTTCCAAGCAGCAAAAAACTTGCTCGTCCAGTAGCATGGATAATCACACCATCCAAGAGAAAATCCTACCCTCGTGTGCCAACTAGTTACCAATGATTGGAAGCGCTAAATCAAACAAGATTAAGTCTTTACTATTGTCACAAAGCAACACACTCAATTGAAGCATTGCATAGATCATAAATAGCCGAAAGCAATCCATATTTTTGGCCAACAACACTCTTTTTTATAATTATTTTTAAAAAAAAACTCCGGCTTCAAATCCTAAAATAGAACCCCCCATTGTTTTAAACCACCTGATTTAGAGTCCAAATCAGAATCTGAATGCAAGGACTAGTACAAATTTCTGAACTTTAAGCATAAATTCATAGGAAAAATTTTGAATTGGCATTAATAGCCCACTACTTGCAATTGAAAAATTAATTAAAGCATCTAAATTGCATATAAAATCCACCAAAACCAGCCAAATTTTATGCAAATTGTTCATTGAAACGAGATAAAAAAGAAACGAGATTAAAAAGAAGATTAAAAAATAGAGTCGAGGATCCAACGAATACCAAACAGTATGTATCCAATAAGATCAGTTGAGATTACCTTTTCTGGGCAGCTTCGGCTGCTTTAGCACGAGCTTCTGCAGAGGCCAATCTCTCTTCTTCTCGTCTCTGTTTCTTGTTTCCTCCGTCGAAGCAGGCGAAGCACGATAGCCCCATCTCTCCACCTCCCTCCCTGCCGAACCCAATGTCACTCTGTTTTTACAGTTTTCGCCCTTCTTTGTAGATTGCGGATAGGACTATTTTTATTCAGGCTTTTACCGGCAATCACCGCGTGCCGCGTTTTTAACAAGGGACCTCCTTGTCTTTTCATATAGTTACCAGGTTCACGCACACGTTTACTTGTCGTCACCTTAATTGGGCTGATTAAGCCCGGTGTTAGCCCATTTATAGCGTACCGAAACGTGCATTTTTTAGGGAATAAAAAAGCACCATAAAAACCAAGAGGGGCAAAATCACAAATGAGAAAGAGGGATGATAAATTTAACTACGGATAGTAAACCCAACCAGCCTGAAATGGTGTTTTATTTATATACATATAAAAAATCTAAAACACATGTCATTTTTATTATTCAAAAAATACTATTTACCCTCTCATCTTTTACGATAAATTACACTAATGTAATTTTTGAAAATTATTAATTTGATCTTCAAAATTCTTCCTATGCATAATTGAATTATTTTAAGATCAAACTAGAGCTTAATTACATTATTTTTATAAAAAAAGCTGAGTCGATAAAAATGAATTGAAGTAAAAAAAAAGATAACATAGAAGGTATATTGATAATTTTTTATCAAAAATTCATTTGAATTCTTTATATTTTTTATTTATTGGGCTACTGATCCCCTATTTTTTACAAAATTTAATTTTAATATCAAGTTTTATTTACTCATTTTTTGTTGGAGGAGAGAGAAAAGTTATCAAATTCTGATTTAGAAAAAAAAATCTATTGCTAAGGAATTCAACAACTAAAACAATTATTTTTTATGTTAATTGATTCTTCAATAAGAGAAGTTAAGAAATTGTGTTTTTTAACATTGAAACACCTAAGAAATCCAATGTGAGCTAGAAAAATATTTTTTTATTTAGGATGAATTTCAAGTTTTATGGTAGTTTTTTTTATTTTTTTGTAGTTATAAATTGGTTTAAAAAGATCTATAGGATGCTTCCTAAATATTTTAGACAAAGAATATTTATTAAAAAGTAAAATTTTGATCAAGTTTTAAAAAGTAAATGCTAAAATATTATTTAAAATTGGTTTATTTCTCTAATTGTTTTTTGTGATTAGCTAACCATTTTAAAAAGTAAACACAATAATTTATTTAAAATTCAATGACTATAAATTTAATATTTTTATACCTAATTAGAGAAATAAATATGGGCAATCCCGATCAAGTTTCAACTAAAGCCAAATAAAAATTGGTTAGATATAACTGAGATCACCTCATCAACCAATTTACGATCCAATTCATTTAATCAAAGCCCGATCAAATTCAACTGATGACAAGGATAAAAGGGGAATTAATTCGTAACCCGCTCGGTAAATAGCTGAAAGAAGAATAACCTAGAAAACAGCCGCTTGACTTTTTTATTTTTTTATTTTTAGAATGACCTAGTCTTCTTGACCTTCACCACGACCACCAGTATACGAAGAAGATTGGAATTAATTATTTGATTAATTTCATTTAAATACTCGATCGTTCGGGTCAAGTGTTTTGCAATGACTTGTCACCCAGGCTGAATCAATCCTTCCAGACCAGGGAAAGCTTTGGCTACAAGGAACCGTGTCTGCACCTCACAAAATTGGAAGGCCGTTATTTCTCTGAAGAAAATACGCACAGCGGCTCAGAATCAGGTATTGTGCTTTTGAGAGATCGTCAATGGAGGTCCCATGTTTAGCTTCAACTGATCGAGAGAAAACAAGAAGTTTGAACTCTGCGCGCGGGGCATTCTTTGACGAGGCAACACAGAGTTTGGCCTGGCTAGCTAACTGGTTTCATAAATGTAATTGATGGCTGTACGCAGTAACCATTTATTTCTAGAACTGATAAACAGCCTCATGCCATCTTCGGGATCTCTTATCATGGTCCTCTGGGTCTGTTTTCATTTCTAGTTTTCTTTATTTTCTTTTCTGGTTTTTCTTTCTCAATTAAAAAAAAAACGAGAAATATGTTTTGATCCAATAGCCAGCTGATCATTTATTTCTAGAACTGATAGACAGCCTCATGCCATCTTCGGGATCTCTTATCATGGTCCTCTGGGTCTGTTTTCATTTCTAGTTTTCTTTATTTTCTTTTCTGGTTTTTCTTTCTCAATTAAAAAAAAACGAGAAATATGTTTATTTATTATTGAGAAAAAATGATTTTTTATAAAAAAATTAAAAATACTTTAAAATTATATTTAATATTCATAAAAAAAATTAAAATTCATAATTTACAATAGTCATCTTGATATTTTATATCCGTGCTCATCTAATTTTAAAATATCAATATAATTTTATTTAAATTAAAGATTAATTATTATGAAAAATTATATTTTAAATAAGAAATCATTATATTAGATTTATAAAAAAAATTAAATCGATGAAACTAACTAAATATGAAATTTTTTTAAATTGATGACACTAACTAAATATGAAAATTTTAAAAAATAATCTTAATTTTTCATTTTGCTAAAAAATTGCTTGTATATGTATTTTCTTCAATTAAAAAACAGTGAAAAATCTTTGAAGAAAAACTGTTGAGAAAATCTAAAAATCTAATTTCTAAATTTACTAGGAATTTGAAAAACTAGTTTTTCAGTGTTATAAATGAAATAAAAATTATATTTGAATATGAAGTTTCAATTAAAGTATCATTCTATTTCTAAACAACTTTTGATTTTTTTCCCTCTAATTTAATAGTTAGGTGTTATGTTACTGTAGCTAGTTTGGTCATACTTTGATTAAACTTACATCTTCAATCTAATAAAAAAGATTAAACAATCGACTTCGAGATTCAAGAATTCAGAAGAAAAAAAATGCATTTTCATGGCCTGATTTAGCTAGAAGTTGAAATTAACAGAACAGATTGCAGACCCGTTTGCTAACAAGATCAGCCCTCAAGTCTCTGGGCCTTTGAGTGAGTGGCAATGTTGAAGTATTGATGATCAATTTCTCTACAAAGCAGTGATTTTTTCTTGAATGAAAATCAAACCTATGGTTTAAGTTAAAAGTGGAGATGACCATGTATAGAAGTGTACGTACAACACCATGCAATCCAAATACAAAGAAACATGAGGTATGGGAGCTCTGCATTTAATTAAATCAACCTAACCCTTAATACTGGTGTAATTAATTTACAATTATGGAAAATTCCAAGGAGGGTTTGAAACTTCCAAACACATCTAACATTGGAACCAAAAATTCTGTGCATCTATTAACAAAAGAAGCAAAATCTAAACCCCAAAAGGCAAAGAAAAGAAAAAATGGAGAGATGAGGTTGATCGATCGAACCGAACCATCTTCAGAAGCTTTTTTGTTGCCCGTGTTGTCGAGGCCATTTATCGGCCGTAGAGCCAGTACTCTTTCTCGCGGGAGAAGATACCCCATGATTAAACATCATCTTGGGCTCACTTAATCTTCTGACATAATCTTTCTTCTGTGATGGCTTTTTTGTACTCAATGCAGGGACTATATACCAGGCAAGAGAGGTCAATAATATAGCAACTGATCGCCCAAACAGAACCACCAATAACAAAATCAAGATGAGAGCAACTGGCATATAATAATAAGGTCTTCGCCATCGGTGCAACTTCATGTTCCATGTAAAAGATTTCTTCTCAGGCTTTCTAGCAGTTTCCATTCTTGGTTGCTCGACTTGTTTCTCTTCAACTGGTACCTCTATTGGCAACTTATCCAAGCCTTCATTGTTGCGAGTGTTGGGGTTTTCTTTGATATCATTAGCGCTACTGATCCTGGGTTTGTCTTGCTTTTGATCTTTAACCTTGATTATAAGAGGAATACAATCATTTGAACTTGAGTAGACGAAACGAACCATGGGTACATCTTCAGGCCCCATCTGTGAATATATCTTCTGCCTTTTCTCTTCAAGTTCCGCTAGAAGTGCAGAGAACTTGTCAAGGCCACGGGACGAATATGGGTTCTTGCTATTCTTGCTAGTCTTGGAACTCTTTCTTGATTTTCTTGGTGTTGCAGAAGGGCTTGATCTTTCTGGTGTTGCAGGAGCGCTTGATCTTTCTGGTGTTGAAGAAGGGCTGTTCCATGATTCCTCTTCTACCTCTAATTGATTCTTAAAGCTGCCACAAATGAATGAGTTGAACATCTGATCATAAATTCTGAATCCTGTTTTGGTATACAAGGTGTGTTTTAGATTGAGAGGTAAGCTTTGGATTATCTACATATATATGTTATGTGGATTGTAGTGGAGAAAGAAGGTGTCGTATGGACCAGATCCAAGCGCTGCTAGCCATGCCATTAGTCAATTAAAAGGTTTGAACAAAACAAAGCCCCACAGAAGCTTCCTTGATCATTTAATTTCGTATCGTTTGACTTCGTGGAGAGGGGGTACCGCAGGAGTTATAATCTATTCCTTCCAAAGCAGGATGGAGAAAATGTCGTCTGCAAGAGAGGTATTGAATTCTACCTTGATGATTCCGGTGGGTTGATCCAATGAATTCGAGTTTAACTAATACCTAGTTTTATTTGAATCGATTTTAATATTTACATGACTAAACTAAATAATATGATGGAAGTTAACACTACGAAATTCAAATAGATTAAAATCAATTTAAATAAATTAAAAAAATATTATTTAAATAAAAATAATAAATTTAAATTAATTCTATGAATTGTAAATTAACTTAATGAGCTATACAAGCCAATAAAATGAACCCTTTTCTAGGTCAAAATCTGGGTAGGGTTTGAAAAATATAATATGAATGGTTAAAACATGTTTGCTTGGGAAAAAGGGAGATTGAATTCTAGAATATATATATATATATATATATATATATATATATATATTGTGTGGGAGAGAGATAATTACAGCATTTTAAATTATTTTTTAAAAAATTATTTTTAATATTAGTACATCAAAATAATTTGACAATTATTAATATTAGTACATCAAAATAATTTGACAATATAAAACATATTAATTTTAAACAATTTTTTTAAAAAAAATATAATTTCAACTCATTCCTAAACATTATCTAATAATTTAAAAATATTTAAAAATATTAATTTTAAATAATTTTTAAAAAAATATAATTTTAATTATATTCTCAAATATTACCTAATTAAAAACATATATTGTCAGCATTATTGGTCGAAAAACAACTATTAACTGACAAGGCGAAGATATAAAATTAGAGTAATGAAATTATTAACAGCGAAAAACATTGAACTTGGTGTGGAATTGGATTATGCTTTTATTTATCATTATTGTTACATTGATTTTTATTTTTTACTTATACTCTCATGTTAATTACAGTCAACGTTGCTAGCATCATCACCTCAATTATACATATGAAGAGTTTCTTTCTCCACAATTCAAGATCAATATGGGCCACAGAAGTTCCCATCAACGCTTTCGTAGTTTAAAGTTTAAACCATCCTGATTCCTAATGCGAGCTAGCTGCCTGATTTTACAGGTTTATTAATTAATCAATCAATATACAGCTGCTAATTAATCTATATTGGCCCACATGACGTAATATCTTTGGTAAGCATGGGGGTCTCAAGGTTAAACCCCCACTAATCCCATGATATGAGAATTATTAAGAAATTAAGATGGATTACTTGAGAAAGAAGCATACGGTTTAGTCAACATGTCAAATAAGACTTATTGAACTTCTCTGATTTTGTATGTAAATATTTGTAATATTCATCAAGTTGGCCTTAGCTAATTCTTCATATGTGTGTAGTACTGGTGTATAAATATATAGTCTGACATTTGCGAACTTCTACGTTCTTGTTAGTGATAAGCATATGAGAATGCAAGAAACCCTTTATAAATGAAAGCAAATAGAAGCGAATGGTCAAGAAGTTATGCTTGTTATGAATGGATTAACTCTCGTATCATGCTTTAAATCTCACTTGGATGATGTTTGTTTGTCAAAAAATATTTTCAAAATTATTTTTTTTAAAATAAATTATAAAAAAAATAAATTATTTTCTGATATTTAGTAGTGTAATAAAAAATAAGTTAGAAAACACTTTTTAGTATTTAGTTATGTCATAAAAAATAAACTGAAAAATAACTTATTAATATTTTATTTTTCTCAAGCTTATTAAAATAATAAGAAATAAATATTACAAATTAAATAGTTGAATTAGAATGAAATTGAAAAAAAATATAATTGCATAAATTATCTCAAATAAAATAAATAATAATTAAAATAATAGAATAATTTATTTTAAATAAAATATGAAGAAATTAAAATAATAATATTAATATTTCATAAATTATTTTGAATAAAATAAATTATCTCAAATAAAATAAATAATAGAATAAGCTATTTTAAATAAAAGATGAAGAAATTAAAATAAGAATATTAATATTTCATAAATTATTTTGAATAAAATAAGTGACAATTA